ACCAGGTACGTTACCCAGGGGAAACCCCCCAAAAAGTGACCCGTACCGAGCCGTACCGTGCCGTACCATGCAGTGGAAAAGCGCCATTAGCTATCTTTATATAGAATAGACTTAATCCAGGGTTATTACCATTATCTAAACTATATATACATATATTATTTCAGCTAGTTGCCAAAGCAACATTTCTCATTTTCTTTTAGTTTATCTTGAAGTACTAAAATACCTAAACATTAAATCATTTAAAAAATAATTAAAATTAATTTATAAAATTAAATAATAAAAAAATAAAAAAAACTATATAGACATATTAAAAAAATAAAAATGAGTAACACAAAATTACTAAAATCTTAACAAAAATGAAAGTTAAAACAGAAATTATAAAAATAAAATTGAATTCAAAATATTATAAAAAACTATAATAGTATATCATTGATACTAAAACAACACTGCCAGGAACTAAAATCGAATCCATAATTGAATTAAAATGAGTCCGAATCATTTAGGCAACTCACTTGCTGAATCAGTTGGAATGACAATGACAAATAACATTCGCTCACTGAACCTAATGCAATTATTTATAGTAAGTCATTATTTTCAAAATGAGTTGTCATTTTATTTAATTGCAATTTTAAACCAGTTTGAGCAGTTTTTGACACTTAATTCAGCCTAATTATTTTAAAAAATGATAGCAATTCTACTAAAGGCGCAGAAATTACACCTTTGACCTTTAAAAACCATACATGAATGGACCAAAAAAAAAAAAGAAAACAGTGGAAAGAACAGCGTTTCATGATCTGTACTGCTGGGAATAAGGAGGTCTGCCAAGGATGTGTGGGAACAAATGCAATTGAGGAAAATATACATGCTTCAGACCATAATTCTGTGCAAATGTCATTCTCACCTCCTCCAGCTCTCGCTGCGTCTCCTCCTCCATCCTGCGGATGTCCTCCATGGTGAGCTCCACCCAGCTGTCAATCCAACAGAAGAGCTGACGGTGGAAGTTGGTGAAGATTCTCTTCTCTTGCTGCAAACGCAGATGAAAAACAGTCTGTTACTGTAAAATAAATATCTCAAAACTCATTCAAATTTGAGAGGCATCACTTGAGCTTTGATGTCAAGGAAAAGACATAAGAAATGTTTTATATCACTAATATCACAACCGGCACAACACACCTTGAGATTGTAAATATAATATGATATAATATGCACAAGTTGTTTGGACCACTTTATGGAACTTTTTTTTATTGTTGTAATTTTTGGAGTATGACAGCATCACATGGGTGTGAAAAAGAGCACTTTGGACTACAGATGCGCCAATTGACTGGCCAGCTGATTTTCCGCATGATCGGCCCGGACCGGTGACAGGTCAGTCTCACATCTTTCCGATTCCAAGCCGGTGCATTTTGACGTCACAGCCACGTTCACATCCGCATGTAAACAAACATGTCGTCTGCGTGCAATTTCTTCACTGTGAGTGAAGACGACACAAAATTCGCAATTTGTAATATGTGTGGGGCCAAAGTAAACCACAGGGAAACCACCACAGGGCTCGGTTTATGCTTGTACGGGACAAGCAGATTTTTTAAAGGGGCAAGTGAGAGAGAATTTTACTTGACCCACTAGACCAGTGTTTCCCAACCTTTTGTCACCCTACAAAATTAATTTTGTCACAATATTTGAATTTCTAACTTCGATATGATAATTTGAAAAGTATAGATATTCGGTACAGGGAAGAACTGCAGAATATAATGTCATACAGATATTTTTAATATTATTTAAAACATTTTGTCCATCAATGGTGGCTAATTTTCGGCAGCCGAAATTTCGGTGCATCTCTAATTACTGGCGACATCAGAAATGGATATTATATAATAGATGCTTTTTTTGAACATTTTAGCAATTTAAAAATATTTAAAAATTATTTTTTACACGGCACCCCTGCTCTCGACAGACGGCACCCCAGGTTGCCGCAGCACCCCGGTTGGGAAACACTGCACTAGACAACTAAACATCAATAACAAAAATAACCGGGGAAGCACTGAAAGTTGGCCACCAAAAACTGATTCTGAATTTACACAAAGCACACACAAAGTAACTCATAGAAAATTATAGATGCAAACTGCGGTAGAAAAACAATGATATTTATTAGGGGTGCTCCGATCAGGATTTTTGAGGCCGATCACCGATCACAGAAAGCAGTATCTGCCGATACGATCACCGATACTGATCTTTTTAAAGCCTTATTTTTATCATGTAGAATTATTTTAAATGATTATTTTTATTATTGTTTTGCAGACATGAATTAGAATTATTTTATTCTCCAATCAGGAATTTAAGACATTTATTCAGGGCCTGAATTTCATTTTTGAAAATGGGGGGAATTTCCCTCTTATAGGTGACTCTTGTGAGAGGGGATTTTTTTTTTTACTTTAAAGGGTGGAGGGGAGCATTCTTTAGACATTTTTCAAAAATATATATTTATCTCACCTAAACGTTCGATCATGAAGTGCATTTTTGTTTTTACACTCGTTCAATTGTTGCAGAATAGCTTACACACAGCACAAAAAAGTTGCTCAAGCAAGTGGCAAAACATTTCAAATACTTTTCTTACGTTATCACAAACATTCTAAATTAAAACTTGCCACTGACAGAAATAGTCAGCTCTACTGCTTTTCCTTTTGCTTTTAAATCTTTATTACAAGCAATCCTGCGGTTCATAAAGAACTTTGTTTGCCTACCTCCACGAGTGCCATATATTATTGCCTTGTTTATCTAAAAGTGCTCTTTTCCTTTAA